TTTATCAGTGTTTTATAAATGTTAAGAATGGCTTCACGTGGGATGTAATGTCTTAGTTTAGCTATGATACCTATAGATCTACTTATTTTCTGTGAGATATACTGTAGTGTATATGCTGTTTCCAGGATAGCTGTGAGTCGATCAACACCTCTAGATATTTAATAAAATCTTTATGTTCAATTTTTACAATTTGTTTAAGTTATCTGGAAGATAGATGGAAGGAATATATGGAAGTTTTTTTTGGCTAGGTCTGAAAATTACGAAGTTAGTTTTTTTTTAACGTTTAACGACAACCGATTGGTTCGTAACCATTCCGACAGATTATCGAGGTCAGTGTTTACGATAGCTTGTAGTTCCTTTAGGTTTTTATGTTCACATAACAGAATTGTATCATCAGCAAATAAGTAGAACGAAAAGATTTTACTACAGTTCTGAATATCATTTATATAAATGAGAAACAGTAGTGGTCCCAAAACTGACCCTTGTGGAACTCCACAAGATGTTTTTTCATAATCTGAAATTGATTCCTTGATAGACACAGTGTGTTTACGGTTAGATAAATATGATTTAAACCAGTCATGTACGATTCCGTGAATTCCAAAATGATGAAGTTTAGTTAATAGCCTGCGGCACATCCAGAATTTTCTTCGTAAATACCGTCTGCGAAACATCGCCAGAAAGCTGGTTCTAGACCCCCCGCAAATTCAAATTCACATCCGGTTTGATAGTGTTATCCAATGAAAGTTCACGTTAAAATGAACAAGAACAAGCTTTCTGGCGATGTTTCGCAGACGGTATTTACGAAGAAAATTCCGGATGTGACGCAGGCTATTTAGTTAAAAGAATATTGTGATTAACCGTGTCAAATGGTTTTTTTTAGGTCTACAAATATCCCAATTGTATACTTCCCCAGATCCATGTTTTGATGTATTTTTTTGTAATATCAATATTTGCGTGCTGAGCAAAAAGTATTCAAAAACATTTACAAACGTTCTATTCTGTAAAAGCCGAGGCTAAAAAAGCCGTTAAATTAAGTAAGCATATTTTCTGCTCACCTTAAGCAGTTTTCAAGTCTGTTTTTTAGTTTTGATTTGTCCTAAATCTCCAGATATTCGATTTCAATGAAAGACATCCGAGGTAAATTTCACTAAACTTGATATTGTATTTGATTATCTGTAGTTACCTTTCGTTTTTTTTTAGTAAAAGAGATTCAAAGCCTAAAACTGTCGGCCTTGGAAAACTTTGTCGAAGAATCTTCCAAGAACAGTGGCGAGTTGTGTGCAAAATTCCTAAGTGGGAGAGTATGCTCGCGCAAAAAAAACAAAAACAAAAAAACAACAATATAGTGCATTTCGATTCGATTTCACTGCATGGTTTTTATTATGGGAGTAATTATCTTCATCTCGAATAAAAAATAATTGAAGATTTTCCCCCGATCTTATTTTTACCTTTCAGTTTCATTCAAATTGTTCTCCCTGTAACTTCCGTATTGGGAGCTCCGCTTTTAGGCAGTGCCTTAATATATATATATTAAAGTTTATGTAACAACGGGTTATGTTGAGTCATATATAATATGTGATTTATTCCTTGGTTCTCAATATTATTTCTAAAACCTTTTTCAAAGACATTGTAAACGTTTACGGCTAAACATCCTCTGTTTGGTAGCCTTTCTTGAGCCTCTCTTAAAGTCATTAGCTAGAAAACGCATTTAAAGACTTACCGCTGCTTGTCCTCTGTTTGGCAACCTCTCAGGACCAAATGTGGTATTATGAACCCTCTCAGAATCGTAGAGTTTCAGGGGTGTATTTGGGACGTACGTGATGTAGTCTATCATTGGATAATTGACAGACGCATGTTGGCCTGTCATCAGCCAAATGATTTGAGTGAAAGTATCAATCAGCTGCTCCTTGGTGTCGATCGTTGCAGGAAACCCGCGAAGCTGTTAGATAAAATATATATGCGTGTAAAACGTATTAAAAAGTATCAAAATGTAATTTTCAAGGATATAGTTCTGAAACAATTAATAAACTTGAATTACAACTTATAGTTAACTTCGTATTCGGCAAACGTGAAACTTGAAACGTGGTGAGAAAGTTTGCAAAAGGTAAAATGAGATGCGGGGAAGGGATGAAAACGTCGAGTTAAAATAAAACGTCGAGATTTGCCGTTTGTACTTAGGAAGGGAAAATGGACTAATATGGTTAATCCGTCTTTTTTACCATGACTTTTGAAATTCTTCCTTCGTCTGAGACCTCACTTGCAAAGTCTTGCACTTCAATATCTCTTTTCACATCACCATCTCTAGGATAATACCTTTAGAATCAAGCAATTTGGAATCAAATTTAATGACTTTCGCTAAAATAACTGAAATTTACTGTCGCTATTACTTCAACAATGCTAGTCACCAAAACCATAATATATGGTTGAGACCGCAGAAGATCTTGGGAAACATTTCATGATCCAAGTAATCAGGTGATCTGTGGGAAAACGATTAGCCAATCTATCAAATTGCGAATTACTTTTTGGGGAAAATAATCCTATGTGTCTAGATATTGATGTGTATAGGGAGAAAACGAAATGGCGGACAAGGAAAATACAAAGGGAAATTGTCATTTGGCCGATATTTTAAGGCTTTAAAATGTTTCTACTTTAAATGTTGTTCAGATGAGACTAGAGACATCTACTTTAATCGGTCAGGTTATTTTCCATCTATTTTATAWAAAAAATAGCGAACACCTAATCGCTCGCTCTTCAAGAAGCTGGCGAAAAACTTTCTTGGTTTCTTGATAAGATTTAACCTCAACCTCCACATCTTTCAGTGATCTTAGGTCATTGGAAATCTCTAGGATGCTTTAGAACTTTAGTTAAGCCTCATATTTATTATTTATAGTGTCTCATTTCAAACAAGAAAAATTTATTTGCTTGAAAGTCGCATATTTTTATCTTTTTTTCAAGATGGCCGCATTCAAAACCAAGTGAATTGAGCGTGCAGTGGTTAATGGGATTAATTCTTCTTTTTTTATGGAAACCATGTTTTGCGTGCCCAGTCAGTTCACCTGAATAGCTTTTGATGCAAACTGTAGTTTGAGGATGCTTACAAAAGCTGAAAATGTAACTGGTAAAAGATGTCAAATCCAGCAATATAGTTATATAATATAGTAGTTAAAACATGGAAAGTGGGACTACCCATAACCCTTGTTGGTCTCAGCTTTGTACCTTTTCAGGGGTCTAACGAGTATATATTTTAAGTGCAATCCAATAGCACGCGCAGAATTTTCCGTCGCGAAAGGGTAGTGAAGGGGGTCAATCAAAGAATTTCCATGACCTTTTCGAGACACTTGCCTATGGAATGTCATGGAACATCAAAAACTATTTCGTCGGGACGACAATTCCGCACGTGCTATTAAGAAGCATCGTACAGTCCTGTAATGTTATTGTTATATTATATTCATAGTTTATATTAAAAGGTATTGTTAGCTATTATGCTTACGCATCCACGTAATCCGTCATCATGAGTCGTATAGCCTTCTCTATCTCGGCTCCGTCGTCTCGGAATGGGTAATAGGGAAGGCGACGAGTGTCATCTACTCCTCTTCGCTATAAAAACATTCAGATGTTTAGAACAAGATACTAAAGCTCCGGGCTAATAAGTACAAATTGCATTACATTATTTGATAGATAATTCTGAGGCACACAAGTAGTATAGGGAATGGGGGTTCCAGCGCAATCTCAACACGGGCAAGACCCGTGTCAAAAATCCACCTACGGAAACAACCCACTCCAAGTGTGGTTGGGGGCAACAGCGCAAATATGTTAGTCTATATATGGAGTGCGAAGAATGTAA